GCCATTGTTTGTTATTTTGGTAATGATGACACAAATTACTCTGATTATGCTCTTTTGCAGATTTATGCCTATGCTGTCAAAGAATCTTTAGCCAATGTAAGCCAAAAGTTCCCTCATTTTTTTACGCGTTCTCCAGTTTACAGATTTTCTTACTCATAATGATGTGATTATACAGGTCTATGGTCATAAGCTTGGCTCCTTTGCAACAAGCTTTGAGAGATCATTCAACACTACCCTAAGGACCCTTGTAGAGATCAATGATTCTGCATGTCCGGACAATCTCTCGAAATCCGAGGATGTTTCAAAAGGAGACGAGGAACTCAAAACCGATTTAGAAGATATAACAAAAGCCTGTATGTTCACTTTAATCAAGGATTTGTTCACCGCAGGTGTTTTCAACGTTCTGGCTTGGACGTGGTACGGCGCTCTACGTCTTCTCAGAAAAGAGAATCATGGAAGGTAGCTCAATATGTGGGCCTTTTTCTTTGGGGGTTCCACACACAGAGTTTAGCATGTTGATATGCGGGCTTCGAGCCTGGATCCAGGTAGGTTTTGGTGGCTTGATGACCATCCTCGTCATGTACCTGATATGCCTACGTTCATCGCCTATAAAGAAGAAAATGCGGTTACCTTTTACGGTTCTTTGCCTCGGTATTGTTTGCGGTTTATTGGGTAAGTTTTGTGTAGACACATTGGGCGGTAACGGCGAACTCTGGCTCATTCTTTGGGGGATGTTTTGGCTTTTGCAATTGGTTGCAAATGTCTTCCCATTGGCTTTGTATGGCCTAGTGTACGGTCCTTTAGATTTGACCCAAGAAACCACCAAATCTAGCACTATGGTACTGTATTGGGCACGGCATGCTTTCTTCATTGGAGTGTTTATGTTGGTGCCTCCTATGATTAACGGCTTCTTGCCCTTGCGACGTTTGGTGAATGGAGAGGTCATCTCTCTGGTGTGTACGAGTCTCTCGGTGAGTTTCGAGGCGATTCCCCCTTTGGGTTATTCTTTTTGTATTGATTTGCATTGCGAACTTATTTATATATTGATTTTTAGGGTTCTTTTCTAGGGCTTTTCTTTTGGTTTTTTGGTTTTGGAACTTTCTTGTTACCATTTATTTTCTCCAATAAGTGAAGTTATGGTATACTTTGCAATCTAGTGTATTACTGCTTCTTCCTTGTATTTTTGATCTGGTTTTATCATCATATTTATAACGAAAAGACAAGTTTTAATCTCGTGTGAGTTATCAGAGAAGGAAGATGGTAGCTCATAAGTTCAACTTGGTCAGACTCATGTAATGGTTTCATAATTCTTATTACAGAGTTGAACATCACAATTAAACCCTCTATTTTACTCAGAGGCTTCCATGGACGACTTACTAAACCCAATTCAATCATTTGAAAACGCGTGGATTTATGAACAAAAAAAGAGGAATTGGAAATCAAAATTTTTGAACAATTGAATCTTTTCATCTTTAAAACAATTTTGAATCGAGAAAATTAGAAACATCAACAAGTAAAATTATATGATTACATGGAAAAAATTACATCAAGAGAACCAAAATAAAGAATTGATGAAGCCATTTTTTTCGTATAACACAAATGATAAAATTCCTGTTTCTAAACAAACCAATTCATTGCTGCAGCTATTGGAAGCTATTATACTCTTTTGTTTCGATATCATACCAATTCCATCAAAAGCGGATCACCTTTGGCCATCTTTTGTACTAATTTGATGAAATCTTGTTCGCTCGAAATGCTCCAAGGATGAACCGCGGGTGTTTCCGCAGAATACAAACTCAAAGAAGAGTTTAACGAAGCTTGTTCTATCTTCTTATATACCATCGAACCTAGAATCGGGTCAAAATTCTCAGGCGAATCCATCGACAGGAAGAACATAGGTACAGCCACTTTGTAATGCAAATCCATATCGCCCACGAGGTTAACAAGATCGGTAAAGTCAGCGACGAAACGTTTAGGTACATAGAATACTTCTGAGCCACACACAGTTAAGATTGTATCATCGCTCTTCTTTGTTGCTTCCTTGTAATTGACTTGGAAATGAACCGGCATTGTACTGACAATTTTCTTGACTAATTCCGCCTGAACCGAATACCAATCGGCACTCCCGTCTGGTCTCACGGTTGTCCATGACTCCGTTACCTAAAATATATCAAGCTAAATTAACTCCTACATAGCCAAACCTAACAATTTTTTTAGAATCGAGATACATGGCAACTTGATGAGTACCTTGTTTGTAGTCCAGAGCTTAGTTTTATCGGCTTGAAGTAAATTCCAGTAATTGAGAACTGTATCATCTTCAACAAACAAAAACCCGTCTGCGCTGCTGTACCGATCAAATATCTTTGGTAGACGCCTGAAACATAAGTAAAAGAAACTACAGTTAGAAAGCTCACATTGCAAAAGAATAGATTGAAATCGAGATTATAGAGAACTTTCTTTTATTACTTGTAAATGTGATCGAGTTTAGCTTCTTCGACGTAAAGATCTGAGTTTCTGTGAGGCGACAGAATGACAACGGTTTTGAATATCCGCCCGTAAAGTAATCTCCATTCAAGAGCAGTGCGTTCCACAGGTCCGTTACAGAACATAATAAGCACGATATTCCCGAAATTCTTCCTCCACTTAATCAAATTCCCAATTTCAGAGGTCACTGTGCCTATCTCCTCGACCCCAAGGTGAAGCGAAGGCAATTTTCTAGGAACAAACTCTTTTCTATCTCCATGACCGATGGTTGCTCGTGGGCGATCCAATTCAAGTGACATTAACCGAGGTTGTTGGTATCCGACAGTAAGCAAATCCTGGAGCCAAGCAGCTGTGAATTTCACATCGAGTTCTGTCCAAAACCCTTGTTCAGCCATAACAAAGCTCAAATCAAGAATAGTCTCAAAGAATCTATGCTTATCTGATCTCCAAGCAAGCAAGAATTTGATCAAACGACCGACATTGACATGGAGATCTTTCTCATCAGAGAAAGGGTAAGCTTCGACTCTATCATACCGGTGAACGGTAGGCGGATAAACAGCAACATAACCACCAAGCTCCCATAAAAGCCTTTGTCCCCAGTAACCTCTAAGAACATCTGAAGCCATGGAACTAACCGAAACAGGAAGCATTAACCCCCAAAACGCCGAAGAATGGTACAACGTGTTAAACGAATTCAATGGCACCATCATACCTTGTGGCAACGCCACTTTAGGAGAATGCTCATCGAATCTGATATCAAACGGTTCGAAAGTCGTCTTCCTAGTGAAATAATACACAGAATCAACATCCGGTAAACCATTCGAAATCCCTTGCTGTATAAACTGTTTACCACCAAAAACCTCAGTGTAATACTCTTCATGATTAATCTCTCCTACATTCTCTAATGGCAAACCTCTAGGCCAAACCGATCGTTGTCCGAAATGGATATAAGGATTAACCACAGTTCGATTCGGGTTTTCGTGACTATACTGCAAGATTGGCTCTTGCCTAGCGTCTTCACCTACTAACTCTACATCAAAATGTTTACCAAGATCTCCATCTATCACTTCAGCACGATCATCTGCATCGTAGATCTTCTTTGCACCGTGCTGGATCGCGAACAAGTAACCAACACTTTTGCGTACAAAGGAATCGTAAGGCAAATGATCCAAAATCCGGAAATTGAGCTCAGCTTGAGCATCGAGAGATAGAAAAATCGCACCTTTGAGATTCCAATCTTTTGGTGTTAAAGAGTTTCCGATAGCTAAAACTTGCCATCCTTTAATCTTCTTCACCATACCTTTGAGCTCCTCCGTTGGGTACTTGGTCACAGACACAACGATCCATTTTTCAGTACGGAAGTTAGCGTACGGTGAGGTTTTGTCGGAGACGATTTGGATTTTGTTCCAATTGATTTGAGGACGAGTGAGAGATTGAATCGATTGAGTTGATTGAGACTGGAAGCAAAGGAGAGAAGCAGTGTCGGTGGTGTTGTATAGGAAGAAGAAAGCAGCTACAGTGACAATAAAGAGGAAAAAGACAGCGATTCTATAGACATTGTCGGAAAACCATGAAGAGAAATCTAGGTTTCGGTGATTAGGAAGTTCTCTGATTCGAGATTTCGGTGGCTTAGGAGCCACACGATCTTGAACCAACATCAGATTTTCAAGCCTT